GGAGGAGACAGAAACCTCAGCGCAGTATCAGCGGTCGTAAAAACATTATGGTCAACTACGACTTGCATAGTATTCACTTCTTTTTAGTCATATAATGGCCCTGATGTGACAGCCAGTCATCACTTCACTTATAAATGTGATTTCCCAATATTGCTCACTCTTAATTCAGCATATGTTTATATCAAAATAAATCCAGAATAAGTCATGTAAACATGAACAGGAAGTCAGTTTATGTCAGAGTACCTCATTTAACATCCATTCAAACAGAACGTCCTCTGATTTTCTTGACTCTCTGCATACTTGAGTGCATACAAAAAAAAACAACTGAAACTCTCCACACACCTTCCTTCCTCTCTTTTTTTAAAATGTATTTTGCATTCGTGAATGATAGTAGCTGATCGGAAGATTTTCGTTTTTCTGCTACAGATGCTTCTCTGAGTATTTTGTATGATGGAATGAGTTTTCTGATTCACAGGCACCTATCTCCACATGTATTTAGTGACTACATATTAGTCATAATAGGTAAAGTGTATTTGCCTTGTTAGACCATATCCATTTTGTCTAATATCCAACACCATTTTAACAGCAGGTTTGTCTATTAGCCAAAACCAGTGTTTTTTCTGCTACCCAAAACCATGTGGGTCAAAGACAAGGCATCCCGTTTTGGTGTCTGCATCAAATTTACAAAAGTGGTTTTATATACACTAAAAGCACATTAAATTCAGGTAGTGTCTACTTCAGTGTTTCAAATAACTTTCGTGAAACTAAAATGTCAAAATATGGGTTAAATTAGTTGCATCGTCATTCAGTGTAACAGATATATTAATGCAAAAAGGAAACAATACATACTTTGACCTGTACTTATTAAAATGTATAAAATAATAAGTGATCATACTAAATTTTATTATATTTTAAATGATTAAAATATAATCGTTTAAAACCTGGTGTGAAGGATAGTGGCAAAGATTGGTTACGATTTAAAATCACAATTAATTAGTTTTTGGGGACTGCACTGTGATCCTTAAATAGTCTTTTAATGCCATCTAATGATCTCTCTCTCTCTCTCTCTCTCTCTCTCTCTATATATATATATAATATATCTTATAAATATTATTGTCATGATTTTTTTTAAATATGTAAATTCATTGGCATTGCTTCTGTAAATCATTGTAAACATGAATGATAGTCATTACTCATTTAGTCATTATTTACTTTACTATCATTTTTACTCATAAAAATAAATAAATAAATAAAATTAAACAGAACACACATTTTATGTACAGGAAAGAAAAATATGTGTTTAACTTTTGTTTTAATGCTTGAAAACCCCTTTTCATCTTAAGAAGCAGGAGACAAAGTAATGATGATAAAAAAATGAGTTTATTGAATAATCTCAGAATAATCGGATCGCCCTTCATTAGTTGACTCTATAGTTCTAAATCTATGTAATTGTAATACAACAGCTATAGCAAGAATATGGCATTGCAATTTTACTTCACAGAAATGTTATAACTTAAGACTGTTATGTACTAGATGTTTGAAACCAACATAAGAAACACTTATAGACAAAACATTTGTATAATAAAACCCTTGTGACAACTAGCCACAGTCTCTTCCTATATACTCAGCAAGACAGGCCTTCAGGCAGGAAGTACATGCCATTCAGTGCATTTCTTTTTCACAAGGGTTTTTAGTTAGATTTGACAAAAGTGACTGCACTCATTGAGGTTTCCCTTTTCAAGACATGATTTACTCTCACAGTCATGTACATATTCTGATGAAACTGTGATTAAAATACTTAAAGGGATAGTTCACCTAAAATAAAATTCACCTAAAATTCTTCTTGATGGAAAAAAAAAATGCAGCTTTGGAGTGAATAGACGACAAAGTCTTCAGGCTGACCTATAGTTGTTAGTGGACACATTTGGAGGATAAATGCTGCTCTCCAGTAGCTGTTTCCTGTATATAACAAAAGCGCTTACTCACTCTGTTGTGCAGCGTTATCATTTAAGGTTGTTTGTCTTAATGTCTTACACTCGTTAGTATTCTTCTGACCACGGATTGCATCTGCAGTCTTTTTGATGTCATTATTCATCCATAATCATTATCTTTATGGATTAAACATTGTCTTACTGTATCAAATAATGTAATATTTATTCAGTCATGCTTTCGGTGCCAGAGCTGGAAATGCTCCCCCCCGCTGTCAGTGTTTTTCCCATCACAGTTGATTTTGGCAGGAACACTTGAGACGTTAAGGCACATTTTGGATAAAGCTGCTTTGACGACATTTTACGAAAAGCGCTATACAAGTGAAATGCACACTATCCATATCATACGCATTAACATACATATTTTACTTAATGCATGTTAAATTGTGCATAATGCAAGAGTCCTTTAATAGCTCCCGGTGGAATATCAGTGAAATGAACCAAGAACTGCTCTGAATTAAATGGATCTATTCGTTTTAAACTTATAGTGAAAGCACTGAAATCTTAAAGCGTCTTAATGGGTGACTGAGCCCCCAGAGGAAGACAGATTTCATCTGGTAGGAAACTGTCATTAGCCAGCAGCTTGTTAACCCAGTGCAGAACTGTGAGATATTTGTCTCTGATTGAAATTCTGCTGACCTCGTGTGATCAGAAAGGAGAACTGCATCATTTGCAAGATGTAAGATGTCTTAAGTACTGCGGAAACACATTTTTAAAATATATTGTCATCTGCTGTTACTCCTTTTGCTTTGAAACATTGTTCGTTTATATTTCTGGACAAAAATAGTCATTCGTTAATTCAATTCGGATCAATTCAGTTCAACATTTTTAATGACTGTTACTTTTAGAATTAAGGCAAGACACAACTGGTGAATAGGGTAAACATCTTAACAAATATATATTACCGTATTTATACCAGTTGATTAATCACAGTACATTAAGACGGTTATTTTTTATTACAAATTTTCTGAAATGTCATGTTTAAATATGCATTATCTAATTAAATATGCACTGATTTCCAAACATTTCCAGAACAAAAGTCTTATTTCATTTTGTTGACATAAAAAAAAAAAAAAAAATGTAAAGGTTTTTGCAGAGAGGATTTTGGATCTCAAATTTTTTTGTATCATTTTTATCACTCCCAAAAAAAAAAAAAAAAAGAATAATAATAATCCATCAGCAGCCAAAAATTTAAATTAAATAAAATAAAACAAATAAACAAACCATTTTTTTTATAACCCTTCGTAATAAATAGGAACTGATTTTGAGAAAATTACCTTTAAAGATATGCATTGTAATTTAAATCTATAGATGCAAATAGATAAAGTGCAACAAAACACACTTAAATGTGTATTTTGGATCTTTTATTTCCACTAGTCTGAAAGAAGACAAATGATGGAATCAAATAAGCCCAAAATTGACCAATGCATGGGGGAAAAGGGGCTTTGTTTGTAATGTCTTGCCTTAATTGAGCTTAAAAAGAATATTATGACTTTCCCAACCTTGTGCATAACCTATACAGAGCCTTTTTTGTTGTATATTAACCACAAGGTGGCAGTAGCTCCAAACTAAGTCTGTGGCATGAGTTGCCTTTGAAAGCCCTTTTACTGAGAAAGAGTAGATATTACAGCTTAAAAAAACACACAAGAAGAACTAAAAGCAAACGCCAGAGTGTTTTGGGTGTTAAAATGGAGGGATTGCTGTAGTGGTTGTCAGACTGTGGTGATCATAAACAGATTCAGGTGTCCAGATGAATACAGGCTTCTCAGCTGCATGTGTGGAGCCAGCAGTGTCTGGTAAGCTGCTCGAAGACCTACCGCTCTGCAATAGACTTGCAAATCACTCCTCCCTTCTGCCACTGCATTAGCATACAGATATTGTTAAGAAAAGGAGAGTAGCCTCACAAAGGAGCCCTGATGTGAGAAATGCCCCTGCATTTCATTTACTGCCCAGCCTTGTCTCAATAAAAGGCAGCGAGACCTTTGGCTATTGTCCATGACCGTGTGTGACAGTGGGATGTTTCTTAGTCTTCCATGCACGAATGCTGGAACAATGAGCAAAGCAACACACAAAAGCCTTCATCTGTTCCCTTGTCCTTTGTGTGTGTTTTCAGCTTGGATAATTAAAAGAGCTGTCAAGTATGCACTTTTTCTCTCTTTCTAGAAGGCAGATGGAAGGAGTAGCATTCAACCGTGTTTGTGTTGTGTTTAAAATTAAATGCGAGCGGAGGGCTTCACATGCAACTACTTGTAATATGCAATGCTTGAGAAGTTTCACCAGAAGTGAGTAAATAGCCACACAATGACATTCAATAGCACTTTAGAAGAGAAGCAAAGGAATGAGGCAAAAGATCTTTTTTGTTCCCTTCCAACTTTATTTTCAAACAATATATTATAATGAAAATGGGCATTGCCATCCCATGGAATGTAAACAGTTCATTTAAATTATATAGAAACAAACATAAAACGAAAGCACAACACAATATACTGTTTTCCCACTTCGAAAAAACAAAATAAATAAGTTTTAAGTTAACAAAAGGCAAAAGCGTGTCTTGTCACATCAGGCAAAAAGATGAGAAACAACAACAATGAAACACAACCTACGAACATCAGAACTCACAGTTCATGTTATTATTTGCAAATGACAAGTTTCGCCTCTTAGAGTGCAAAAGACGAAGGCCGCGGTATAACTTGACTTCTTTCTGGTACATTGTCACTTACACATTCTTGCATATGAACATCTTTGACTCTTCCTTGTGGATATCTCTGACTGCTATTACTGACAAAGAACGTGGAGTGTGTGTCGATAGCACTTTAAAAGGATCCTGAGATTCCATCTTTAAGACTCTGTGCAGCTGGGTTTCATTAATTAAAGCTAAGAGATATAGCTCATGCAAAGCAGACAAACGGGCTCAAAGAAACAAACAAAAACCCTTATCTACATTGTTCCTTCTTCGAAATGCATATAAAATGAAAACAACCAATGCATATTACAACAAAAGCAATAAATAGGTTTTTAGAAAGGACTATGGTTAAAACTACTCAGTCCATTTAAAAATGCCTTAACTAAAGGCTACAGTATGTTCAGGGAGCGGGTTAGACGTTACACTAGATGTATATACTCTAAGTTGCTCGGCTTTGGTTAAACTACAGATGGGCGGCTTGGGAAGGTTGGTCCTGCAGACAAAACACCGCAGAGCAATTCCCGAAACACATAAACCTAAAGTGAAGTTCCCACTGCAGCTTCAGACTGGTATACAACAGTATACATTGCGTTCATCACATTTGCAGAGTCTGCTTGGGCGAGCATGCAATATGCACAAGTAATGGTTTCTAGTCGTCTGAGACAGACAGGCGGCTGAAGATGGGCAGTCGTCGGCCGTCGATGCCAGGAGAGTCACAGCCACTTAGACTGCTGGAGCTGGTGTAGCCGTCCTGATCGGAGAGAGAGTCCGCTGAGGCGCTTCGCTGCAGGCCCGTGAGCGCATACGCCAGGTTCTGCACGCTCTCCGAGTCGCTGATGGCGTAGAAGCTCCCGCTGGCACCCAGATCTACAAAGGGGTGGCTGTGCTTCAAAGTCCCCAAAGGGGACAGCAGGTCGGGACTCCCGGTGGACGGCGGCGGAGACACGGATGAAGATCTGGAGAAGGCCAGGGCGTCTGGAACGGCGTGGAAACCGCCGAGGATTTGTGGTTGCGAGGAGAAGCCGCTGAAGCTGACGCTCTGGCGGAGCTGCGGTCGCACTCGGATGCTCTTTGTGCTCTCCGAAAGCCCGTTCTGCTCGTCTGCGTTGTGTATGAAGTGACACCGAGCTCCGTAGGGGCAATATATATATATACATATATATATAACGAATAAACATGACAAAATCACTACAAATTTAACTATAAATTAAAACTGAAAATATAAAAACAAAAACAAATAACAACTATAATAGTATTTTACGGATACAAAAGTAACATTAGCAAGTTATAATTACTTTTTCGACCTATACTTACATAACCATTCGCATCAGAGCTATAGTTTTGAGAATAACATGCTTTATCAGCCTTGAATGAACTCAAACTAGCCATTAATTTGAGCCCTCCCAAAAACTAGAAGCTCCTTCAGTATTTTGCATTACATCACAACTTCAACATTTATGCAAATAGTTAAACTCATATAATGGTAAATCTCACAGAAAAGGCTTTGCTTCTGGTTAATGTAAGGTTCTGTGTGTGACACACTGAGATGGATATTAATAAACACAGTTATCTCTCCTCTATTTGTGCTATTCAGTTGTAAATGACTCCTAACCTGAGGCCATTTTCACTTCCGTCATTATGTCATTGAGAGAAACCTCACCATACTTGATGGGGCAAATCAAGTGGGCGATCGTAGCCCAAAATCACCCTCACAGGATCCGGAGTCCCTGGGAAACCCCTGAGTATCATAATTAATTACAGAGATCCAAGAGCGTTCAGTTGCATTAAACGGATTAGTCATCTGTACATAATAGTCCATTATCACCAATTTTGAGTCAATGATTTACAGTAGCAAGGTTTAGTTGTACAGCATACTTGAATCAGTTGGGTTTCTTTGGTTTATTAGAAGCAGATTGTAAGTCTGATCCTGCTATCAGAAGATGATTTACTCAAACCCGCATGTTTTTTTTTTGAAAGTCATTGGGGTCCAGTGCTGTTTTAGACCCCATTAACTTTCAATGCGAGGACAAAGACAGTGAGCATTTATACATTTTAACTCACTCTAAAAAATGCTGGGTTGTTTCAATCCAACTTTGGGCCAAATATGGACTAACCCAACTTTTGGGTCGAAAGGTTCTTTTGGGAACCAAAAATGGTTCTTCTATGGCATCACTGCAAAAACACCCTTTATTTTTAAAAGTGTAGTATTCTGAAATTAGTGGGATCCAAAACAACAGTTTTTTTGGACTCCATTGGCATGCATTGCATGTACCAAAAAAAAGAATATTTGAAGAAGGTCAGAAAGGATTGGAACAATATTGACTGGGTTTCCATTTTTTTGAGTGAGCTATTCCTTTAAATCGATTTGATTCTTGTTTAAATGCATGAGCAGGGTGCATGCACAAGTTTCAAAAAACAAAACTCATATTCTTACCTTGCAGAATTCATCATCCAACTCGAGGAAGGGCGTGAGGAAATTTGATGGCATTTTCAAGATGCCTGGCTGTGATTCTTTATGTGCAGTTAAGGATGTGTTGAACTGCTCAACAACTGATGTCAAGCTCTGCTTCTGTTACAACCCCACTGTTGGAATCTCACTTTATAAGCAGAAACTTCTAACCACGCCCACCTTTTGAAGAGGCGTGTTTTAGTGCCGGGTTCACACCCCCTCAAGAGTGAGGAAAGTTTATTTGTGTCCTGCCTAGCCTTTCACAAAAGAGCAAGCACACACTTTAATACAACTCGGATCATCTCAGATGAACTCTATATCATTATAAAATAGCTAAATGAAGCCTATTTCTAAAATAGCTCTAAACAGGGCTAACTGCATGTGTGTGTGTGTGTGTGTGTGTTTAAAAAGGTTTACAGTAAAACAAACCTATTTTTGCTTCACCATTTCCCATAAATTTAACCCAACAGTTGGGTTAGTCCATATTTGACCCAATGTTGTGTTGAAACAACCATAGTATTTTTTAGAGTGATAGTTATTATTTTAGTTATCATTAGTTGGACATTTTCAAGTGGCTTTACCTTCTTCACCATTCTTACATTTACACTGGACCATGCAAAGAAACCACACCACATCAACTCCTGTGAAACAAGACACTTCAAATATTAGCAAAGCTGAGGTCTGGTCAAAAGACACCACTGTCTTAACACACAATGAAGTCTTATCACAGAGTGGAGCGTCAACACCTCATACAATCCAGCTCTGAGAATGATAGAGCAATGCAAACAGGCCGCTATCCCTGAGAGCACTTGTTCTTTTGTGACTGATAACGACTGGAGAAGTTACATTTGGGCAGGGAGAAGCACAACTGAACGCAAAGGTTTTATTTGTTTGCGACAAAGTGCAGGTAAGCCAGATTAAAGCCTGTGCACCGAATGCAGGAGAGGCCTATTGTCTTTGTACATAAAAGCAGTGTGACAACACTACTAGATGTGGAATGAACTTTGAAAGCACTGTTTTAGACACTAGGCACTAATGCAGCACATTCTCTTGTTTTTTATTCTAAACTCAAACTCTCAGTGTTTGTGCCGATTTAATTGCAGGTATTGTGCTCAGCAGGCCTGAATAACTTCTTTTGAGACTCAAGTCAAAAGGCAAAAAAAAAAAGAGAAGATAGAGGAGATTGCACAACGATGGGCTTCTTCTATTCTGCTTAGAAAAGGACAATTACACCACATAAAGGCCTCCTGGAGACCTGGGATGGGTGATGTGTTCTTTCTTGGGTAAGCAATGCTGGCTTGGTCAGCGTGGAGATCATGCATATATGAATACAGATAGATGGATAAATAGATAGATTTTATTTTTTTTTATGTTTTTGAGATAATGTCTTGTGTTCATGAAGCCTGCATTTATTTGATTAAAAATACAATAAAATCAGTAGAAAATGTGAAATATTATTACAATTTAAAATAAGTGTCCTCTATGTGAATATATAGTAAAATGTAATTTATTCCTTTGATCAAGGCTGAATTTTCTGCATCATTACTCCAGTCTTCAGTGTCACATGATCTTCAGAAATCATTCTAATATGCTGCTGCTCAAGAAACATTTCTGATTATTATCAATGTTGAAAACAGTTGTGCTGCCAAAAACAAACTTTTCAGTATTTTTTATTTGATTTTTTTATGAATAGAAAATTCAAAAGAACAGCATTGATTTGAAACAAATAATAAAACAAAAACCATCATAAATGTTAGAATATGACATATTAGAATGATTTCTGAAGGATCATGTGACCCTGAAGACTGAAGTCTTATATTTACACATGGCAACAGCTCATATTTTATTTCCTTTTAATTAGTTGTTATCTTATAGCTATTAACGAGGCCTAAGTGAATTAACGACAGCCTCTGTGAAGTACTGAAGCCATGCCAGACAGAAGGGTGAAATCTGCTCAGTTTTTTCTCCTTAGACAGGAAGGAATGTGCAAGTCACTGCATGGGCTACTTATAGACGCCTTACATAACGCAGAAAAACAAGTGGGTTATCGCCACCCACCCTCCAGCCGTTTAGGAGGTTAAACTGTAGCTGTGAGGTTTTGACCAGCTCTCTGCTGGCTCTCTGTTTGATATGGAATGCTGCTTCTCTGAGCCCCATTAACGCTAAATGATTCTGAGAACAGACGCACAAAGTCATCGTGATAGTTGTCTGTGGATGAGAACAGATAATGGCCCTCTCAGAAATGTGGTTTTGAAATAACATGTTTTAGGAGCCCTGTCTTGTAAACATGTCCATTGAGCTCCTCAGAAATCATTAAATGATCATTTAGTAATCCAGAAATATATGCTACAGGGAGACAGGGCTATTTGTCACACTTTTTACTCCAGTGAATATCTATCAAGGTGGGGTTGTTTCTTTATAGACACCTTAAAGTCTGAGAAAAAATGTTACAGTGGGGTAAGTTGTCACAGTGGAATAGTTTGAAACGAATGTTTTTCGCAAAAAAAGAAGGGTTCTTGAATGTGCACTTAGGGTGTGTTTCATATCTTAAACGCACATTTTTAAAACTTTACTTGCAGACAATAAAATGCAACTTAAGTGATTTAAAGTTAGACACTTTCATGACTGTTTCTTAATACACTTAAGTAGACTTTTAAAAAGTTACCTTTGTAATAATAATAAAAATGAATAAATAAAAATACAATTTTTAATTATCTTTTGTTGTGCTTTAAAGAAGGTATACGGTTTCCAGGGGTTTTGGATGGCTAACGTTTTACTTTAAAGTGCATTTTGAATCATGTTTTAATAATATATTGGCATGCTTTAAGTAAGTACACTTATTTTGATGTGTTGGCTGACATACTAAAGCACATATAAAGTACCTGATTATTTTACCTGTTTTTTTGATGTTACATTTAGAGTTAATGTATTTTAATTGTGTAATTACAAATGCATTTTTGACATACAGTATATGATGACATAAAGATGATGGACTGAAGTCCTACTTAAGTGGGTCATAAAAGCACTCGTAAGTTCAACTAAATGCATTTAATATAAATTTAAACTATAATACATTTTAAATAATTTATAATACATTTAATTGGAAATTATATGTAATTAGGTGTCTGAAATCATTACTCCGTTCATACGTAAGTGTATTCTTTAAAGTAGTGTACTGATGTTCCTGATGTTTCTCTCATACTTAATTGTTGAATGTGCACTTGTAGTGTACTTCAAATCTTTATATATTACAAACTGTACTTGCGGATAATGTAATATTGATGAAATAAAAGGCCACTTAAGTGACTTAAAGAGAGACACTTTCATGACCATGTTTCTTAACACACTTAGGTATGCTTTTAAAATGTGCACTTTGTAATAATGTCAAAATAAAAGTTATATTAAAAAGTAAATTTAAAAACATTTGTATAATAAAAAAAAAAGTTAAAATCTTTTGTCATGTTTTACACTTATTTTGATGTGTTGACTAACATACTAAAGCACATGTAAAGTACTTTAGTTATGTAGGTATATTTTAATTTAATTGTAAATAACATGCAATTAAGTGTCACAATTCAGTTCACACTTAAGCATATTCTTTTAAAGTATGTTATTTTCATAATAATAAGTGCAATTCTTTTTCACAAGGGATGTTGGGACTTTTGAGGGAAGATGTGCATCTTGTGACATCTTGCCCCGATCTCCACAGTAGCAAACTGCTATTTAAAATTCACATGCATCGCTTCATAATGCTAAATATGCAAAACGGCTTGTTCCCAAACGTCTGCGTCTCAGCAGTATCTCGAAGTTTCTCTCATGTCAATTTGAACACGCATGAAAACGCGTATTTTTAAACCTTGCTTGCTCATCCACGCACGAGCAGCAGATCTCTTTGATCGATATTCAGATGTACGGATAACTGGTTTCAGTACGTTTTCCTGTCAGTCAGCACGTGTTCCCATCAGAAGAGAAGTTTCCTTCCCCCTCAAACTATCATCTGGGCTTTACAGCCGCTCTGACTTCACCCCCTCTGGAAATGGACCGGCCTGCTTTGTGTTTTCTCCACAAGGGCCCTTTTGTTGCAGGGCTCCATATGCCAGACAAGGGGCTCAAAGACTTGTAGCCCCAGCTCTGGCTGTAAACACGTCTGGCCTGGAGTGGGGGAAGGAAGGTTATGGAGGGAGTGGACGCTTTCTTGCCGAGCTGCGGTGGTGTGAATGGGGTGTGGGTCAGTTGTAGGTCCAAACGTTGCTGAATCAATACGAGAAGCAGAGGGTCTATAGAAGAGCCCTGTGTGAGTATGTAAGTCCTCTGTTCCGACCACGGTCCACGGAGCAGTTCCCACACACACACACACACACACACACACACACTGACCACAGGGACATACAACACCCTTTGTAAAGTGGAAAGACTGGAAGCAGATTGAATGAACATTTCCCAACTTAGAAAGACAGAGCAGGAGAGTATCGCTGCATATAGAACAAAATGCAGTTATGATCGGTATCTAATTTTTAGGGATGCATCGATATTAAAATTCGGTGCAATATTAATAAGCCAATAGTAATGTATTTTTGTATGTATATGTGTGTTTATATGTGGGTATGTATATTAACTATGAGAAATATAATAAAATTTTCATAGCAAATATAAAAAAATTATATTTAACAATTTTTTTCACACACACACACACACACACACACACACATGCATGTGTAAGATTTGTTGAATACAATTTATTCTTTATTAATTTATTTTTACAATATTAACATTGTAAACTATTTTATGTAAATTAAATTAATACATTTAATACTATTAATTAAATATTAATATATCATAACATTGGACAATATATTATATTATTATTATTTAATTTTTATAAATTTAATAAATGTTTATAAAATTTAATTAACTTATTTTTATTGTTTCATATTTAATTGCTATTTGTCTTTGTTGTGTATCATTATATAATAATTTTGTGTAATTACAAAAAAAAAAAATATATATATATATATTATTTATTTATTTTTTATTTTTTTGTATATATACAAATATACAGCATATATATTCTTTATTACAGTTTTTTTCCAACAGCTTACACACAAAATCTTTACTTGTCTCACAATTTCTGAAACCTGACACTCAAACACCAGAACCACACACACATGTAACTCTTGGAGAAATCTCTCTTGTAAAATATTTCACAATTTCTCAGAGGTTCACTGTGTTTCGAAATCAATTTGAGAAGTTCTCCAGCACACTCAGGATTCATCATCCAAATAATA